CAGATGTTTACTCCTTGTCGCCTAAAGCAGCTGCGGCTATTTTTTATCACTTTGGGATGAAGTATGCTTACTTAGCATTTCCCTTGCGAAGATAATAGTCACACAGAGCGGTAGGTGAGGGGGAAATCACTTGCGAAAGTTCGTACACCTCCCGAAATACTTCGAAATAAACGAAGGGTACCCTACTAGCTAACTCGCTGCAGTCTTGCCCTAAAAGAAATGAACGCGAAATAGTTGGTATGATGGTCGCGAAATACTTCCGAAATACTGCAAATTGCAACGAAATACCCCAAAATAACTGAAATTACCGGAATGGCAGAAGGAATACCTCCCTCGGCAGTAAGGCTTTAGGCATGAGAGGCTCATTTCAAATCTCGCGTAGCTCTGCAACTAGATTTTAAAAATAAATATGTAGAGATGACAAAGTAAAGCGTCGTAGGGCAAGGTGCGCAGTGATTGCCCCTGTACCAGTGATAGCCACTTTTCTCAATTTGCAGCCAAACTCATCACTTACGATCTTGGCGCGGAACTAGTGTTCTAGTAAGGTCCCTACCGGGGTATAATGAGCCAAACTACCTCGCTTCGTTCTTAACATTACAAGAAAAAGGGGTGGCCAATTGGGCAGATCCATCGCTTAAGGTGTCTATCATTGGGCATCTTACCCTAACAAGTGAATCTGACCCAAAAACACACTGCGACTTACGCTAGAAAAGTGTGCTTTCACATCCCTAACGATGTACAAGACGCACATAGAATTAATCATGGCAGGCAACCTAAACTCGCGCATTAAGCCCGACAAACGGTTAACAATACGCTTTAATGCCGCTGGAAGGGGAAAAACGCAACTCCTCTTTTTCATCCGCGTTCTTTATAGTTGTGTATCATGAATTATTTCCGTGAAGGCCGGGCGAGAAGCCCTAATGGAACCGGCCGCTTTGCACAACTCGGGACCACGCACTTAGTTTGATTCTACGCGACTGGCTCATCTCGGGGAGGTAGGGAAGCGGCAAGCGCTCTTACAAACAATATCTTAATTAACTCCCGCACATCTTTGTAAATTGACACAGCGGCAAGGCCTGGGGGAGCTGAAATAGCGGCGAAGGGGGTGGGGATAGGCAAGGATGGCAAGAGTGAGCGAGTGGGAGAGAGAATGAGCAGGAAGGGAAAGCCTCAGCCGCACTGTCGGCGGCGGCACCTTCGAGGCATGAGGAAGGCTTGGCAAGGTGCTCAAGGTGAGCTGGGGGAGGGAAGAGCCAAGGGGTGGAATGGGAGCAGGGGTGAAACTAGTGGTTTGGTGGCCTGGCTGCCGTTGTTGCCACGGGGTAGGGTAGGGCGCCCTACCAGCCGGCTCACCAGCATCCGTCAACCGGCCTGGGGGCCGCGGTCGGGTCTGGTGGGTCTGGTGGGCGGGGAAAGTGCGGTGAAAAGGTATTTTCGAAGAGAAACATTTCTGACGTGGGTCAATCACCTATGTGAAATCATACAGCAAAACAGAACGCCCAGTCGTTTTACAAATGTTCGCATAGTTCTTCAACGGAAACAAATGTAAATTTATAAAGTGCTTGACCTAACGAAGACATCATAGCATAAACAAGGTCCATACCGGATCTCAATTTTCAATTTACCTGACTTTTCCATGATTTCCAGACCAAAAAATCGTATTTTCCCTGACTTATTAAAGTTACACAGGACGCAAAGGGCAAAAAGAAAATTCAAAATGCTTTGCTGTTATTGCATATTAATGTCGGAATTCTTTATCAAAAGTCAGTCATTTCCAATAAATATTATTACGAACAGTAAGAAAAGTTTAAAGTAAAGATTAATTCTATACTGGCTAGTGTCCGTCAGCGCGGCGGGCCGCTTTAAGTCACATTTGAATTTTTCCCTGACATTTCGCTAATTACCCTGACATTTCCATGATTTCCAGAACCTTTTCATTTTCCCTGACATTTCAATGATTTCTAGTTTTCCCTGACATTTCCATGATTTCCAGAACCT